AGAGAGAGAGAGAGAGAGAGAGAGAGAGAGAGAGAGAATAACATATGGGGAAAAGCATGGTTGCCCACTCATTCATACTCGTTTAATCACAAATCGTTTATTGTTTTTTGGGGTTTTTTTTAAGGTAGTGTTTTACGGCTCTCGCAACTTCATAATAAGGTCAAATGAGCACGCGGGACACATTAAACATTTTTAGTTTCGTAGGAATTGATTTTGAATTTGATCGGGTGGCGGCTTAAATCTACTCTAATCGATTTTGGACCACCAAAGGATCTTGAACATGAGCAGCTTACACAGGGGACCTCCGAGATTTTTCGCTCTTATCCGAGAAGGCTATGTGTTAGATATTACCTACCCTTAAATCAGGAGTGTGGCTGAAAGACAACAGTAAGAAGGAGCCAAGGAATAGCAATAGAGAGGTTGTAGAAAGAGTCAGGAGCCCATAGGAATAGGAGGGTCAAAGCATGGTGTGCGTGTGTGTGGGGGGAGGGGGGAACAAACCTTTCAACGATTCTTCCTCACAGGATGTCTTGTGACACCCCTTCCCCCCTCCAACTTAAGCCTCCACCGAAAATATTCTTCAAGGCAGGTGACTGGCCTCCAGAAAAGAATTAACGTACAACTGTGTACCCTAACGCTGCCACGTTAACCTTAATGAGTCAGTTCCAAAGTCAGATTTAATGCTTGATGACCGGCAGAAGTTAATGACAGAGGAAACAATCATCCATTCATAATGTTTCGGCAGCACGCAGTTGTGCCCCTTAGAAACGTGCTGACGTCACGTGGTTCGTTTGATCCGCTGACCAGGGAGCGCGAGGGCGCACGCGTTGCATTGACCCACGGTCAACATTCGGGTGCATTCTCGACTTGAGGGATAACGAATTATTACGGTGGAAATGGCTATAAGCCATTTGTTTCATTCTAAGGTTATTACTGCTGATTGTCTGAAAGAAAAGCAGACTCACTAGATCTAGATCTAATACCTTTTCAAGCGCTTTTTTATTTTAGCCCAATTAGGCTATAATCTTTTTAAATCGGCAGATTGTCTTTTAGCCGAAAAAAATCAATGTTTGAAATGCACTCTCATTCGTATATTTCGACACATGATTACCTTTGGACCTTTTGTTATTTTGAATTCGCCTTTGATTTTGGCTTAGTCAAAAAACGAAACACACCCAAAACAGTTGTGGTGTGATATCAAATATTTTGGCTGCTGCTGCTGCTACTGCTACTGCTACTGCTACTACTACTACATGTACTACTAGTACAATTACTAACTACTACATGTGCTACTAGTACAATTACTACTACTACTACTACTACTACTACTACTACTACTACTACTACTACTACTACAAATTGCATTTACATGAACATAGCGGATGTCCGTGCTGCAAAGCATGCTCTATGCGCTTTACAACAATTATTGCTATGTATTATAGTCAAACCCCAATAAGACTGAACCAATTTTTATAAGGCAATATAGGTGCGATGTGAGAAAGAACTATATTTTGTTAGGGCTATGGAGTACAAGACCTCTGAATATCGAGGTGAAAGCTTCTCTGCGCTGAACGCATCGCCAAGCGGAGGCTCGCACTGGCATGCAACACATTCATAGCATAGTATTCTGTTTATACTGGCTTGGTCACAAAATTGCGTTTCCTATAAATCTTCATCATACTCGTTACTCATGACACTGAAAAGGCAATTAAGTAGCTGACCAACTGACTGTGCATGGTCCTGCGGGTGAGTGGAGACAGTTTGCTGGCATTACAATGACCGATGACCAACAAACGTCCAGCCTTTGACCTCTGGAAAATGACAGTCGGTAGCTCACAGCAGCATGTCGTTCGGTGACCCCGAAGGAAACTCTAGGGGAAAGGGGTTGGTTGGACTGGGGTGAGTTGGAGTGGTGTGGGGCGTGGTGGGGTGGCTTGTGGGGGTGTCAGAGGTTGAGAGGAGGGGAATGGGGTTATTTTTCCGTTTTTGAGCGAGAAAACATTTGATTCATACACAAAATTCTTATTTACAAGGTGATGGTATTATTATTATAACTACGGGGCCTCCCCCTTCTACATCCTTTGGTGTTTAGTATGTCTCTGTGCTTGTCAAGTGCTTTATTGTAGCGTCGGTAGTCTAGTGTCAGGCTGTCGGGCTCGTAACCAAAGGGTTATGGGTTTGAACACTGTTATGAGACTGGCGCAGTGTACCTTGCTTGGTGAAGGCACTTTACTCGAATTTTTCTCACTTCGCCCAGGTAGGAATGGGTATCCATTCTGTTATAGGCAGCGAACGATCCTGTCAGTTTATTGGCGTTTGAGGTCTCCGCTTAACCGGCTAACACAGCATGCTTCCCAGGAAGCCGAGAACGTCTCTGATCTGGGCGTTCTAGGGGGTCTGCTGGGATAATAATATATATTTATAAAACTTTTCAGGTGATTATTAATAATAATAATACTCTATTCCTTCCTACTGAATACCCCCAGATGTCTAAAAAGTTTTAAACAAAACAAAGAAGTAACCAAGAGCAATTTGGAATAAAATCAAGGTCTTAATAAAGATAAGTATAATTGTATCTCAATTCGCAATACAGTCTGACCTGGTTTCCTGTTTCGCTCTTTGCAAGGCCATATGCCAGCTTCGCACTTTCTCTGTAAGGAAAATCACTTATGTTTGCTCCATCAGGCGGTTTTTGTTTTTGTTTTTGCTTTAAAAAAACTCACACCATTCCCATACTATATGCTTCCATGCCAATATAATTCCAAAAAATAATAAATGCGCTCTTGCTGATCCTGCGAATAGGTCAATTAATTTCTACGCAATTTATTCCTTCCGGCCATACACCGACACACTGAGCTCACGTAATGGGAGGTCACTCTCTCTGACAGCAGGACCCCTGGGTGAGTAACGGATCGTGGGAATGCAGCAGTTGTCCTTACCTTATGAACACAGCAACAGGACACGTCGACATGAATTACAGCTACACAACTTCATTATGCGTAAGTAAGCATGGCACATATTATATTATGTACTGGTTACTAACTTGACGGCGATTCCCCCCGCCCCCCTATAAGACACAGACAGCACCAACCAAATCCAACCATAGTGGATCAGTCGACAATACATTATCGCTGCTCTTTTTTATTTACAGGAATAAAAATGCCAGAAAAAATGTTATGAATCGTATCATTATTAATTTATTCAAATTGTCCCAAAAGCTTTGCAAAACAAAAACTGAAATTTCAGTTCTGACACAGTTTTCTTGAGTGGACAATCTACTCGCATATGTTAAACAAACGATACTTTTGTGAACACAAGTGATATCCGTATTTTTCATGAAATAAGCGCACCACGCGAATAACAGTTCAGGATTAACTTTTGAATAGTGTTGTAACTTCCCCCCATGTCAAGACCCTAATGACAACTGTTACTATAGCCTGCACTAATTACAAATGGTAGTTAGGATTTGAATTTGGCAAAGGCACGACGTTCGGCACTGATTAATCACAAACATATCTGTACTCATATATTGTCAAGAACCTTTAAGTGTGCAGTGTACTGAAGTTGAAGTATAACTATAAGATATTTCATCACAGGCTTTGTGTGATCCATAATGGTTCTATGGAATTTTGCTTTTCAATTTTTTGAAGTATCAGAAGCTGAGGTACATTTAATTAAACAGAATTCATAATACTATCAGCATTGTATAAATGCAAGATAGAGAAATATGTCCACATCATTACTGACTTCCATATAATAATGATAAAATAATAATGATAGTAATAATAGCATTTGTATAACGCACATCCCCACTGTACTCTCATAGAAGATATCAATGGTATGTAAAAACAAGCAACGGGATATGGGGTGTAATGATACTTGTACCGGCATTTCCATCGCTTGATATATCTTGTTGATCCTTCAAGGTTTGAAAAACAAAATAATACAAAAATAACATAAACTGTAAAGTCACTAAAACAGTGTTTTGAACTCTCTCGAAAACACATAATGATAGTACACCCTTTTAGCTCATTCATCTCTCTGTGTGCACAACTCACTCAGAGAAAAGGTCGGCAATTTCCCACGCGTATTTCTACAAGTCTGGCAGCTTTGGTGAGCAAGACCACGTGATCTTGCTCTGCGAGGGAGCAGGGGTAATGAGGGCAAAAAACGGCAGGAGACAATGACAGATTTCCGCAATTATCCGTAATTTTCGGCGAGAAATGCCGGTAGTGTCGTCCGCTGACAAACCCTTTGCGAGCAGAAACACCAGCTCCCACGTTTGCAGTCAAGTCGTCAGTATTTGCACACCGAGTCACAGCAGACTCGAAGGCTCAGAAGGTCAGAAGGCGAATTAACACCGCCATTATTTTGACTCTGGTGACAATTTTCATATTACACCGTAATGGCGATTCAGGTTTTGGGGAAGCTCATCTCCGGTTAAGTCACGGACGGCCGGCAAAGAGATGCGGGTGGATGCGTGACCATTTTGGGGAAATGATGGATAGGATTCACATCTGGCTTTTGTCTAGCTTTCAGGCTCCCAATCACAGAATTGCAGTTTGTGTGAAACTCAAAGGTCACCACTTCAACTCGAGATCGTTTTGGGTCCTGTAAACATGAACGCTATCGTATTTATAGGCGAAGGGTGGACTCGGGTGCTTGGTAATGTAAGTCGTCTCAGTGCCTACATGAACCTATGGCCGCTAAACCCAAACCAGTGACGTCTAACATGCTTTTGTTTTCTATAATAATATAATGTCCACAAACAATTTAACTCAGACATTTGTAAAAAAAAAAAAAAAAAAAAAGAAAATACAGTAGGGTAAAAACGATTTAATTGAACTAGACCAATGTTAAGGCCAATTTTTTATTTACCTTGATCTGAGGTGGAATCTATGTGCACTTTGCGTCATAGCTCAAATCAAATTGGGATGATTACAACAATGTTTGGCACAGAACAAAACATAATATTATGTTCGTCTATGACACCACAACATTCCAGCGTTCTAGGCGGTAGCCTACCGTTTTCAAATTACAGTGAAGGGGAAACTTCATTGTGTGATGCACCTCGTACACAAACAAGAAATTATGTATAAATACTCCCCCCCCCCCTTTTCCAGTCTTTTCTTCTCTACAGTCAGTCCGGCTTTGACCACGTATCATCCTCTTGCGCCCCTCACCCTGCCATTATTAAGTCTCATTCATGCCAGCAAAACCTTGATCTCTCTAACACATACGTGGGGATAACACATAAATCTTCCCTTTACTTTGATCCCTGTCTTTCAATCATTAAGGGTTAATAATTAAAACCCCGCTTTTCTAAAAATAGAAATTGTAATAAGTAATATCAAAATACATAATAATAATAATAATAGCATGCAAACCCCGGCCCACAGAGCGAAATTGTTATAGCCCACATTGGGTATTTATTTCTCAAAAGAGGATCCATCATTAGACTATCACAAGCCAGCAGGTTTCCTATTTGATTTTAGATTGTGCATACTTTGCAGGTAATTTGACACACAATACAACGATAACTCCCACTATGCTGCAAGTGCTTGAAGAGAGAAGGCTTGGATTTATCAACATCAATGCTAAATAATACATGTTTCATTTTTGCTAACCTTATTTGACTTTAAAAAACCTATTTTTTTTCACCTATCGTCCTTATCTACCCGTCTTTTTTTTATGTTTGTTATAAATGTTACTCTCTTGTAGCACCTCTAATCTTCTGGCGCGCATATGACCTTATGCAGTTGCGGGCGGCGTAAAACCTCTACTAAAACTGAACTAAAAACACCTTTTTTTGTCTAATAATCTTCCACTGATTTGCAGTTTTTTATTTACAGAATAGGGGCTTGTAAACCCCCGACATCTCATAGACTCTACTTTCACAAATCATTATATTATGGTCTATGTAGAAGCAATCAGTTGTTATTATTATTGTTCTTGTTCTTGTTCTTGTTGTGTTCATTCTTTTCCGTATTTTTGTTCTTGTATTTTTCGTTCTTCCTCTTGTTTTTCTTCTTGATATAGCCCTTCCCCTGACCACATAGGGGATGACTTCCATTTAATTGATGGGGCAGATTTTAAAGCCCCCCCCCCTCTTTCTAAGGATATGTTACATAATACAACCGGTCCACATTTTAATATGACCGACTAGATGAATAATTGGGTTTTGGGCTTGAGAAAACAGAAATACATCACCACAATAACGGGAATTCAGTGTGCAGAATCAGATAAAAGGGAAAAATGATCCTCGGAAAGAACACTTGGGAGAAAAAAAGAAAGAACTTCCAATGTTACTATATAAAGCCACTCAAACATGGTGAGAAAAGACCTCCACCTGGGAGTGTATAATATGTATAGGGCTATATGAAGCAAGATGTGAGGAAGACGAAGTGCAGCTATTTCAAGGAGCATAATGTCACCAAGGGAATAACATACCCTGATATTTAGTTACTAACCTGCGTTCAGTTAGTACTACGAAACCGAAACAAATGTATGGAGACGTGATATTCATGAAAGTTCAAAGGTATAGGGGGGGGGGGGGGGGGGAGTTCAACACGCATGTAAGGGTCATGCTTAATAGCTTTTCATGCTATCTAGTAGCTTTTCATGACATCTGAACCATTTTAATTGTTAAGGGTTACTGATGATTCCTATCCCCTCCCCCAAACAAATCCCCCCTCCCGAAAAAAACAAAAAAACAAAAATACAACATCAACAACAAAACAAAACAAAAACAAGGGAACCCAGACGAAGAGTTGGATGCTCTTGATTGTAACGACAGTACCCGCTTACAATTGGATAACGTTTCGTACAAATCTGCATAACATATGACTGATATTTAAAGTAATTACAAATGAGTATGTCTTATACCATAGATAGTTTTCCATTATCTGTGGATTGTGAGCTAAATACTTATATCACCTCAAGTAAATTAAACACACACGCAGTCTTTTCTTTTCATTAACATTTACATGAAAATATATTAACCTTTAGTGCGCGAGGTAACATCGAACCCTTTAACCCAGTGCACACTAACGGTCGAATTCATTTGTGAGTCATCGTGGCAAAACCAGGCTCTCGTCCAAATAATGGAATAGAAGAAACCGGCGGTTTACACCCTCGTTGGGCAAATATTATCGATTTATATATTTTTTCTTCAGCGCCTTTTAAGTCAATTCAAAAACACAATCCTATGTGGATTTTACTGAAAGGCGTTGTTCAGATGCATGAAAAACCTAACTTCTCTGTTTCCAGGGACTGTCACTGTATGGAAATTACCTTATTTTAGGTGCCTTTTTCTCAGTAATCTTACGTATTATACCATATGACTCTCAATCTTCTTCAACCGATAATATCTTGACTTCTATATAAGATAGATGTATACTAACCTAAGATTCAAAGATTCAACTACATGAAATTTTTTGTTTTTAACGAGAACGTTTTAAGTATACCAAGTTTGGAATCCACAATTATAATAATAACAGATTTCTTTACATACCATGTAATGTTTACTGAAAATTGGCGTCGGTGGCCTAGTGGTTAGGCTCTCGGACTCGCAACCGTAAGGTCGTGGGTTCGAATCCCGTCAGGGGCCCGATGTTGTGTCCTTGGGAAAGGCACTTTACACGTATTTTCCTCACTTCACCCAGGTGGGAATGGGTACCCGGCTATAGACAGCGAAAGATCTTGTCAGTTTGTTAGTGTTTGAGCGCTTGATCGGCTGCTTGCACTGTATGCTTCCCGGGAAGCTGAGAATGTTTCGGAGTGTTCTATGGTCTGCTGGGGTAATAATATAGTGTAAAGCGCATAGAGCCTGCTGTTGAGCGGGGATATGCGCTATACAAATGCTATCTATTATTCTCTATTATTATTATTAAAATTCTTTCTTATCAGATTACCAATGAAATTGCCAAAAATGGGGTTGTTTCATCACTGATGGCCTCTTTCGACGGCTGTAATGACTCTGCTATGAGTTTATCAAATCTAAGCCAGCCCATAGCCTACGGTACGGTCTAAAAAATTAAACTATGATTTTTTTTCATCCGATGCGTAGACAATGTATTCCATTCGTGACCTAGGCTAGTATGATTTGCTCGTTAAAACCTGGCAATACACCTGACATGGGTCACTCTCGGAATAATATATTATATTATTATTATTATTATTATTATTATTATTATTATTATTATTATTATTATTATGTTCCTTTTCATATAAAAAATACTAGTTTTCTATTTAACTTGTGTGTATCCCCAACATGCGGGAAACATTTCCTTATCAGACCCAGTGATGTTAATCCAGGGTACACGGTTATAGAACAATCAGTCGAAAGGGAACACTTACTTCTGTTTGATATCCTCTACCTCCCACTCCCGACATTCTTTTAACACACACACACACACACACACACACACACACACACACACACACACACACACACACACACACACACACACACACACACACACACACACACACACATATTATTAGAGGTAGTGCTGTGGTGGCAAAGTAGAGGGTGTTGGTTTTTTGCACTAATGTGTCGAAAGTGTGGCAATGGTGAGATACCGGGTTGTAGTAGTAGTAGTAGCAACAGCAACAGCAACAGCAGCAGCACCAGCAGCAGCAACAGTAGTAGTAGTAGTAGTAGTAGTAGTAGTAGTAGTAGTAGTAGTAGTAGTAGTAGTAGTAGTAGTAGTAGTAGTAGTAGTAGTAGTAGTAGTAGTAGTAGAAGCAGCAGTTGTAGTAGTTGTAGTAGTAGCAGCAGCAGCAGCAGCAGCAGCTAGTAGTAGTAGTAGTAGTAGTAGTAGTAGTAGTAGTAGTAGTAGTAGTAGTAGTAGTAGTAGTAGTAGTAGTAGTAGTAGTAGTAGTAGTAGTAGTAGTAGTAGTAGTAGCAACAAAAACTAGCTAGTTTTGGTAGTATAGTAGTATAAATATAAATAATGTAGCAATAGCAGTAGTAGTGGCAACAGCAGCAGAAGCAGTAGTAGTCTGATGATGATGATGATGATGATGATGATGATGATGATGATGATGATGATGATGATGATGATGATGATGATGATGATGATGATGATGATGATGATGATGATGACGATGATGATGACGATGATGATGACGATGATGATGACGATGATGATGATGATGATGATGATGATGATGATGATGATGATGATGATGATGATGATGATGACGACGATGATGACGATGATGATGATGATGATGATGATGATGATGATGATGATGATGATGATGATGATGTGAGTCAAATCGATGCCCTCAAAGGCTGACTTTGCCGAATTCCGTTTGATATACTTGTTCCCCCCAGTTTGATCACCCGAACAAGTGTGAACCATATTTTACAAGAGACAGCTGACACCTGAATAAAGTGCACCCTTCTCTCTTTCATGAACAACAATTGAAAAAAGAGATAAACAAAAAATGTAAGCAGACGGGGTTTAAACTGGCCTCTCTGGTGTAATGGTTTAGCCCTTCACCGTTATATGTTGTATACCTCAGCTGAATTCTCTTCAAAAGGAAGGAGGGAGGGGGGGGGGATTTCATCATTCCAATATTCCTCGTCTGTCTATTGGAGTACATAATTATGTCATTCAGCTCATGTCTGTTCTAACAACGAAGTTTAAAACACCTTGCATTCTATAGCCTAAACTATCTGGATAGGAGAGTAAAATAATAGCAGTCATGAATCGAGGAGTACTACTCTATGTTCATGTTAATGTGTTCTCAGCTTCTTCAACCCAACTCCAAACAAGCCCACATCTGCTAGACTGATCTCAGGAAATGCTAACCAGCAATTGCTCATTATGTGTACCCAGTAGCACCCTTAGACAGTTACTAGCACGGAATTTTCCATGCATTAAAAAGATTGTACGCACATAAAGAAAAACAGTTTAACGAAAAGAACATAACACCAAGCTGGGTCCCCACCAGTAGTATTTGCTCATGTAGTTAGTTAGCACATCAGAAAATAAAAACATAATATTATCGCAAAATAAACTGCGACGAAAGCAAAAAGACCCATATGAACTTTTAGTCAAAAACTGTGGTTGATAATGATTTGGCAGTAAATGCAAGCTGACACTCGCCTCTGACGTTGTAAACACGTTGTCCTCTTTCGATTCGTAACTCCGATTAGCGTATTCGCTTTTTTTTCACTCCTCCACAAATCCCCGAAAGCTCTGAAGTTTTGTGGTCGCTGTGATCAACATGTTGAACCTCGCGGCACATCGTGTTGAGATAATGACATGCTGGCAATGAAAAGATATAACCAACCCCTCTACCAAACCACTCTCTCT